GTTGACTCATCATATCCCAACAACAGGAAGAAATACTTTCAATATCGCCAACAGCGTTAATAACACAAAACCAACGATGAAAATTGCAATACCAGAAAATACATTTTAAATCGTGCATCAGCGAAATATTCAAAGAAATATGAAAGACATATCGAATTTTCTCTCATTTTCATTTATCTCATCTTCGTGTCAATATGCATGCATTCACATTTGCTTAATCACTGCAGGTCTACCATTTTTTTTTATTTACTCAATCTCATTTTTGATATACATCCAACGTTGGAGAATTAAAAAGAAAACAGCAATTTTTAAAATTGATTGACTGAGGTGGAAGCATTTAGTTTGATGCATGAACTCAAAGCGTTTAGTAGCTCAATTTGATCGGTGATTGTGATAAATAATTTCGGAGAAAATGAAGTTGTACCGCGCTCTCCAACACCGCATTGTGCCTATTAAAAAAAAATAAAACGAAAACGTGACGAAATTCATTGCTTCGCCTCACACACAGACACATACAGATAGAAAACTTGTCTATTCTTGTCCGAACAACACACAATTTACATGAGTTTTTTCACGTTAAACCAAAAATATGTTGGTTATTTCACATTCACTTGATCTTTCTTTTCCGTTCACGTGAGATTCTCTTTCTGTGTTGGTTTGACTGATGAAATACTCATTGCCAAATGCAGTGACTGTGAACTTTTCTATTATTCTTATTTGTCTTTTATTATTATTCATCTCACTAAACACACACACAAAATATCGTAGCCACTCAATCTGTTGGCATTAGGTGCAATTAGTTCACGAAAAACGATTGTCAGAATTGAATGAAAAAATCGTGTTCAAGTGCTTATAGCAAAATGCTGTTCAGTTCAGGCCGTTCAACAGTACGAGTACATGCGCTAATGACTATGCGAAACAAATGAATCGACTTGTACAATTAGAGGTTATGCTTTCTTTCTTGTAGCCAACACTAATCCAATTCATTAGATCTATCAAATGATGTAAGCCCGGAGATTTTCGAATTGAAATTGTAGTTCACAAATCAATATCATTCACTTTAAGCGCATTTATAAGTATTTTTGGTATCATTACTTTGGGTCATTAGATACTGGAGCCTTTAGGCAAATGCATTTTAAATGAAAACGTGAGATTTTTTTTTTTTTTTCAGAAAAATGTTATACGCAAATATTTGAGAATGTACTCAATCGAAAATAGTTATCAAAAATGAACATGATACTAAAGCGTCTTTGAACTAGTGTTTGCACAGACATTATTTATTGACGTTCAAAAATTGTCTGTCATTGTCAATTGAATTGGTGAGAATTAAAACGATCTGTTGTAATCACCGTCAATGGAAATTGAAGTCAGTTTGATTTTTACACATTCCATCAGAATAACTTGATTAATGAAAAATTTGATTTTTACGAAATATTTATTGACATTGTTCTCATTTACACAGTTGCAATCTCGTATTGAGCTCTCGATGAAAGTTTTTATGACAAAAATTGATTGAAATGTTGATTAAAAAAAATCAATGACGCATCATGTTATCATGTTTGCATGCGATTTGTTCATTATCAACATTTGACAGAGATTTTCGTAAATTATAGAAAATTCGGTGAAGGTTTTCACGCTTCTTGGCATTCGTTATTCATCTAAAATCAACAATTCACTATTTATCGAGCTCTCCGCTATATAATTGCAAAATTTTTCTTTATTTCTGTTCGTTTCAATTAAATGCAATGAGATTTCCCAAGTGATTGTCGAGCGTCGCAAATGAGAATGAACTCTAATCGAACGGTCGTGTTCGTCCATAGAACTCAATCAAACAAAATTATAGTGCACAAACGAACAATGTGTGTGTTTCTTTGTGAATTATCATTGTTTTTTTTTAATTGTGCTACATCTTTTCATTTCGTTTGTGATTTAATCAGAGGAAATGTCAACGTTTGCATGTAATTTAACATTTGTTATGCATATTATGTATTGATTTCATATTTATTTCTGTCTTGCAATGTAATTATATCGATGGTCAGTTATTTTTCTTTACTTTATCGTTTATGCATTTTTCATATAAACAATTCGTTCCGAGTTCATTGAATTTCCTTTTTATTCATAATTCAAAACGTGAAATTTTCATACACAAACACTGTTTCATCGATTGATTTGCAGGAAATGTTTCGGTACGAGCTATCGATTTTTGTGATACCACAATTGTCATATATGTGGGAGTATCGGATTTCTTCGCCACTTTTCTTTAGCCACTAAAAATGGACGCATTTCTTTCGGGGCAGACATGCAACTCTATATTTAGCGAAATTGTAAAGAAGGGTCTGAAGTTTTTTTTTATTTAAAGCGGATACACATTCGATTATAACTTTCTATTCAGTTATTGCGTCAGAGCAAACATTGGTACTCCCGATTTAATGTTGAGATGTAATTTTCGAAAAATATGGAAGAAAACTGAGTAAAAAGAACCAAATTTAAAACAAAACTGATAGTTCGTTTCAAGGTCATATCAGAAAGTCAGTATGGAAATTCCTACTCAAAATTCAATGTTTCTTATCGAATGAAAAAAAAACGCATGAAAAAATGTCATCTCAATTAATAAAAAAATGAACTTGGCTTTGTGCCCATTTTTTTATGAACGAAATGATTCTTATCGTTCTATTCAAATACGACCGATTAAATATAGAACAGATTAATAGTTAATACATTGTGACACTACATTTGGTGATACAATGCCTTTTTTTTGGTGAATACGTGTCTGAAAACATGCAAACAATTCATTAAACGACATCAAAGAAACATGTTTATTTATTCACAAAATGTCAATTGTGAAAAGATAATTCGAAATGTTAGTGAACCGAAATCGAATTGCTGTTGGTGTTTTCTTTTATTCCGCATGATTTTCCGTATATTTTAGGTAAATTTATACATGGAAAAATAAACGAAACAAAAACAAACTGAGCCGTCACTTCTGGTTTCTTCATCGATCAAGATTAGCCTTAATTACAACGATGGCTAATGTAATACTACTGCTTCAATTATTCGTTCTGTAAAATTAATTTGGGTTGTTGTGTGTATATTAGAGCATTAGCTCAAGCTGCGTGGGCTGAAGACTTTTCATCACTATATATTTCGCGAAATCGACTTTGAAATTAATTGAATGTGTTGTCATTTAAATTGTATGTAATGAAAGCAAACGCGAAAAAAAAATAAGAACTACACAAATGATCTGATGACAAATGCGCTGGTAGAATGTTCAAAATAACACATGGAAACAATGATCTAAATTGGTGTTGACAAAAATCGATTTTGAAATGCTTTTAATGTGATTTTTCGATTCCAAACACCGTCAATATTCATTACGTGCTCACAATCACACAAAATATTATCATTGACATCGAAAAAAAAAATTAATTGATTTTGCTTATTAGTGTAGCGAATGTAATTCAAAATTGTCACGAATCTTTCGAAATTGCTCATTCGCCATTCGCAAACTTTCAATAATAAAATATTATGATCAAATCACCTAACCGTAAATATTTAAATGGGCAAAAGTGTGATTCATAAAGACCGAAAATTCAAATGATTTTAATATTTCAAAATGTTTGCAGTTCGATCGTCAATAGAGAGATAGAGACAGAGAGTAGAACAAATGGATCAAATGAAATAGGTCGATGCACATCGTCTTGTGCACACAGTGTGTGACATATGTTTTTGCATGTTAAATCTTGTATAGTTGTGCAGCTCTGTCCACACAGCACACGTCTCTGTCCATAAACGAATTGAGATATTGATGGTGTTGTTGTTGTTGTATATCGAATCGCTTTTGAAATGTGCAATTAAAGAGAACGAAACAAGATACCAAAACCGAAATGTTCAGCTGTTGTTCTTCGAAATCTCAATTGGCATCAACACTATGTCATTTATTGCAGAAAAAAATGTGTATCGGTTTGATAATTTTGAATGTTACAAACCTAAGATAAAGGAAGTATTGCGTGTGAAGCGTCAATCGAATATGCTGATATCAAAATTTGTTTTTTTTCGTTTAAATGTCAAACACTCTCAACATATCAATGCATATTCATATCAGCATTTTCACCATCGTGTCTTTTTTTGTGTATACACATGTATACATATCGCCATAAATGTGTGTGAAAGAGTGTATGTGTGCGTGTGTCAGTCTCCTTATTTTGCTGAATTGTGTGTCCGCCATGTCTTCAACGCAGGGCATATGAACCACTGCTCAATTCTCTTCTTTTTTTTTGTTTTGCATGTAGTGGTGTATTGGTATCCGAATACATTATTATAACTTTGTTCTAAATTCTGTGGGTATATGCTATATGCATGTTCGTACATTTGATTTTGATGTGGGTTTGAAGTTCTATTCCTCTGTTTTTGACTCTCTCTCTCTTTTGCTATCTTTTGCCGTATTCAAACATCTATGGACATACTATAAGTGTGTATATTGCGCTATTGTTGCTCTGCTACCACTACTGTTAGTATAATATCTGTGCATTGATTAACTGACAAAATAATGTACAATGTAAAACATACGAAAGAGTTTGTACAGCGTAGTAACATAAAGGGCAGGGCAGTACCCTCTTGGTCGGTTTTCGTTTTATATTTTTCCATAAAAATTTTTTTTGTTATTGTTATTTGTACAAACTTATAAATCTGATCAAACAACAAAATGTTACATTTTCCAAATGTGTCTCGCCAACTAAAATTCACATCAAAAAGATAAAGTCAAATGTACTGCATGTACATTGTTTGTTTTGTCATTCATGTGATTTGTAAATTTGCATTATGTTTTCGGTTCTGTTGTCTTGTCTTCAGTCTAAGCCTGTTCTAAATGTTGTCAGTCGTATCGTGGTTGCAAACCAAAAATATACGCATTTACCACAGTCGTTTGCATAAAATAGATAATATATGTCCCATTGCATGCCACACATTTGATACATAGCTAAAGCAAAATTGAAGCAAATTACCTGAACCACTTTTTGCGTTGTATGTCGCATAAACTGCTTGCGATGAAAATGGAAATCACAGTCAAAAATTGAATGAAAGAGAGAAAAATGATGTATTTTCTTCTTCTTCTTCTCTCGTCGTTTTCGCGTTGTCTTCTTTATAAGAAATCTTAGCTGGATGTCGTATTGAACTTTGCACAACCGTACTGAATTTTTCTTCTTCTGACAAAATGAGCACACCAATTCCTGGTTATTTTTCTTTCTTTCTTTTTTTTATATTTTGTTTTCGATTTTGATTTATTTGACACAAATATTCTATAATTTTTGTATTTTGTCTACGTTGATCACTTTTCAAAATGATTGGTTGAATGTTGCAGCAAACACACATGCACACACTGACCGATATTATTTGCTTTCGATAGAATGAGAAACATAGAAAATGAGAAGAAAATTTTAATTTTGGTTGTTAGTCTTGAGAGTCATCATCAGCATATTTTAATTTTATTTCATATTGGTTTTTCTTGCGAGCAGCAATCAACTGCTATCGCCACAGACACACCAATTCAACGGAACAACAAAATAAACAAAAGAAGGAACACAAAAAATAAACACACAGAAACAAAAAAAAAATAGAAAAACAATTAGAGAGCAGCCAACGACATACGCACTCTTCGGCGCGGATAGAGATAGAGAGAACGTTCGGCAAACACGGGTGCAGCCACGAAATAAAAACCACAAAAATGTTCAAAAACAAAAAATAAATGCGTTTCTTTCACTTTTGTCTTATGAACTTCTTCTGTTCTACTTTTCTTAATTTTTTTTGACCAGATTCACGCTGGACAGATACGATGGGTTCTGTTGTTTTATCTCTTTCTGCGTGTGTTGATACACAACGGATAAAATCACGCAAATGTAGAAGAAGAGAAAAAAAAATAAACTGCAGTCTGATTCTTCCGGAGACGCACCACTTTCAATCCAGATTTGAAATTATTACACAATTGAATAAAAAAAAAAATGCAAATGCGCACAAAATGTTCTCACATGCGGACGCCTCATCAATTGAGTGTGATTTGATTGATTTTTATGTCATTGGCGTTTTAAAATATGAAATTTGCTTAAACTATGCACTCACTGCTTTTTGGCCAAACAACAGACAAAGGAGCTACTCCGACATTTTTGCCCGACGTTGCAACCACAACACAATCGACGACCGTTCTCGTCTATACTATTTTGGTGAACTGTTAGCTCGGTACCTTTTGCCTATGCTTCTCTCTCGCGCTGTGTGTCCATGTCGTTCACTCTTCTTGGGAATCAAACACATGCACATACACACACACACGCGCGCACAAACTCACTCACACGAACCACCGTGTATGCGCCATTACACTACGCACACATTTGCACAATGCTGCCGTTGATCTCTCTCACATTGCTACTCTATGGCCATACAGTCAATACGTTGATTCGTATTTGAAAACAATGTGTATGGTCGCATGTTCAATATATACTTTGACAAAGTTGTGTTGATGCGACTATTTCAAGCACGATGCATTTTGCAAAATGGTACATTCGTTGTATTTTCATACCAAATTTTATCATTAAAGTACATTATGCAGAAGGGATCGAGGCTTTTTGGACGCAACTAACGTTTTGTTTTCTATATCAATTTTAATTAAAGAACACAACACACGATTGAAACATCATATAAAGTGTAAATAAACTTTAGAATGTTTTGCATTAAACACATGCACATTGCTCCATTTATGTACGATATAAGACAGATAGATCTTTGCTTATTTATTACCTCGTACACTTGTAATTATTCTTTTGCATTTCGCATTGCGCGATGGTAATAGTGAAAGGAACGTTTGCATTTGATGTAAACACACAAACGTGGCGGGATTCGTTAGTAGCATGCACTTTTCAATCGTTGACCGCATTTACGGCTGACTTTGAGATCTTTTGATCACATTCGGTTGTTTGTCATGAACCGTTCTCTTTATTATGAAATATTACTCATAAAATATACATTCTGATATCGAAAGTAATCCACATGATGAGATAATTCTGCGATAAAACAAATGAAGAGTGAATCACATGGAATCAAAATAAAATTTGATAAAAATATAGATAAAAAAAATCGTATGGTGTATAAAAATTGCGCGGGCTTTTTTTTCAAAAAAAGCGTTTGACGTTTAAGCGCGTATCATGTGAGCGCCGCCACTCTCATGTGAAACTATCGCATGACGGAACGCACCCATTTGGCGAAAACTTCACGACAATATATTGTACCGTGTATGATTTCAGTTTTCAATTCTGTTTCAATGTGAGACACACATATACATAAAATTGTGATGCATCCATATTCATAGGTAAATATTATTATAATTCTTATAAGTTTATTATTTCGTGCGATTGATGAAGTAAAAACGTGTTTTTACCTATTTGAATATGATTTTTTTGGTTTAAAAAACCCAAAACATTCAGCATATCATTGTGGTTTCTATTTCGGTGTAGGTAAAATAGAAATTTCATAATGCTTGTTCGAAATGTGTCTCACGACAATGACTGAAATTCACTCACACCAAGTTACACTTTCATACACAATTCAATGCTCTGTTCAAAATACACAATTCATTTTTCAACTTGGAAAAAGTGCAGTTTTTCTCTTCATCATAAAATTTATATATATTGTTCTTTGTACTCCGAAAAGAACAAAGCGGATTTTCTTTGTTGTTGCTGTGTTGTGAATTTGTTATTTTTCATTCTATCTCTCTCTCTCACTCAATTTTTTCCCTCTGAACAGAACAAATGTTAGATTGAATACGGCTAGAGAAACATAGGAAAGTCAACAATAAAACTTTTAACTTGGCTATGGCTATTGAACGGAATAATTTCGGCGGGAGTGCTCAAACATCCGACCCAGAGGAAAATTTAAGTCGTCTTAAACATATTTTGGAGCGTCTGACCGATTTGCAAAGCGACACATCATTCGATGACAAGCAAATTCAAGACGAATGCAATCGTGTTGTACGTGAACTAGTTATCATTAATGTACCAACATTAGCAAACAATATCAAAGAATTCCAAAGCCATTTGATTTCAGTTGGTCAATCACTCGAACGTATCATCCGACAATCGTCAAATCCCGAACAAATATTCATCGGTTGTCTACAAACACTTTATTGTCTTCTTGTTACGAATGGTGAGTAAACGATGGTATTTTTATTGGTTTTTGGCTCGACGATACACGTATATTTATGTCAATCAATTTCGAAACCAAAAAATAAAAACAGATTCACCGTCAGCGGGAAGTGGCATTATATTTGACATCTACGACCAAGATTCAATACCCAAGGCAATTAAGTTGTTAATCAAAAATACGGCAAACATGGGAGTTGACAATGATAACGATTTTAAGAAAGTTACACAAACATTGTGCACATGGCTTCGGACCTTCAGTGGACTCAAAAATTTAAGCCATTGCATCATCTATTTTCTTGATGGATTGCGAGTATGTATAAAATATCAGCTCTTCACAAATTTTCATCTTTGGAATTAATTTTTTGTTTTTCTTCTGTTCATATAGGACATTCAGAAATACGCACTTCTTATGGAAATCGCCGACTCAGTAATTGAAAGACTGTGCTTATCGCTTATTATTCCCGTAGTTAGGCCAAACAGTGTAAAAGTACTCTCCCACATCCTCTGTTCGGCACAATCGAAAGCGCTATTCATGAAAATTGTGCCGCGAATTCCGAAAGTGATTCAAAACATTCAAAGTACTTTGGGTTCGCCGAATGAGCTATTTATCCCACCGGATGTGCAACTATTCATCGATTTAGTGTCGGCTCTTGTTAATCGATACGGCATGTATGCATTGGAATTTACTGAAATCGTAAGTGTTAAATTGCAAACGGATCGAAGGCCTACTTTTAATTATTGAAATCAATTTAGATTAGCGTTTTGAACGAAAGTAAGATAAAAGCGTCTGAGAATGCAGCAACATTGCTGGATGGAAAAACATGGCTACCACCGATTAGTACAAGAGATCCAACAATGCCCATCGGTTTGATCAATCTCGGCAATACTTGCTATATGAATAGTGTACTTCAGGCGCTGTTTATGACCAAAGAGTGAGTTCATTGATTATCGTTGATCGAATTATACAATAATCCAATTGTGCTACTTTTTAGGCTTACTCATGACATTCTACTAATGAAACTACCATCAAAAATCATCAATTTTATCCAACAATTGATAGCATTGTTATTATTTTCAATGCGACAAGAGCTTGCCCCACACGATGTATTGAGTCAGCGTCCGAACAGTTTTCGTTATGGTCATCAACAAGACAGTTTTGAATATTTGGGATTTTTACTTGATCAATTGCACGAAGAGGAGAAACGATGTTTAACAGCGGCCGCAAAAAATAATGACAACGCAAATGGTAAATTCGTGATGAACGGCAATGCAAAAATGGAAAATGGCAATGGAAATGTTGCAGCCGAACGAATGGATGTTGACGATGTTAATATGCTGAGTCATACCAGTGCAATTGATTCACCGCCACTTACAGATGAATCGGACGATGCAATTAATCCCGATGAAACGAAAGAAGTCACCAATACGGTTCAAACGATGGTGCAAAAATTGTTTGGCGGTCGCTTGTCTGTCAATTACAAATGCCTTAATTGTTCCACGCAAAGCACAAATATCGATAATTTCTTCGATTTACAGTTATCATTTCCACAACAACAGCAACCGACTGGTAGCTGCAGTGATTCGCTAACAACAAGCCCATTAATTGATAAAACCAGTTACACAACACAATCACTATTGGATTCATATTTTGCAACCGAACAAATGATTAACGATGATAAATACTTTTGTGATAAATGTAAGGCTTTGTGCGATGGTGAAAGAAATATCACACTTGAAGAGGGCCCATCGAATCTTATATTGGTGATAAAACATTTCAAATACGATCGCAACTATCATGTACGCCGAAAATTATTGCACAAAGTACATCATGATCAGGTGATTTCGTTGATGGTTCGATCAGATGATGGATGCTATCGTTTAAAGTACAAATTATATGCGGTCATTGTGCATTGTGGCATGAACATCGATTCGGGACATTATTATACATTTGCTGTGAATTCATCAGAGGAATGGTTTAAATTTAATGACAGCCACATAAGCCGGAGCTCATGGAATGACATCAAAAATTTAAGCAGCCTCAATACACCATACATTCTATTTTATGAATTTATTAACAAAGAAAAAGTGCCCGAAAATGATATAACAATAAATCAGAATCTAGAAGCAGCCACACAATATGCAACGAATGACATGTGTCGAAAACGAAAAGCGGAACCAACACGCTGGGATGATTTACCATTGAAATTACAAGAATTTGTGAACCATGACAACATCACCTATGCGGATCAATATCGGAATAAACATCTAAATGGCAACGAAATGATCAAAAACTATTACAACAAACATCGAAAATCGGATAATAATGATCAAGATCCACCGAGTCCGTGTGGCGGTAGCATTGTTGAGCAATCGAATGGATACATTTATTAAAGAAATTCCATTCGAAGTACATTTTTTAGGCTCGGCTTGAATATAATATACTGCCGTTCACATACAAACACACAAAACATGCGTTACTACTATACACAAGACAATTGTTATTATAATTTATAACATTTTTAAATGAAAAAAAAAATTATTATAAATAAAATCAAATATTTTGTTTGTACAATAAACGAGAAAAATCAAATGTTTTAGAATCAATCATGGCATTTTAATTTTTATTTTTATTATTATTATTCATCATTGTTTGGTATGGATAAGTTCCTTCTTGTCACCAACCCCCCAATACATTCTTCTTCTTCTCTCTTTATCTTTCTGCTTTCCTTCTCTCTTTCTCTCGCTCTCTGTAATTAATATTAATACATTTTTCAGCATTTCATCGATGTATAAACAATAAATGAACATAAAAATGAATGTGAGCCATACAAATTGATCGGCATAGAAAAAGGGGGTCAGCTCTAAAATTTATTTCTAATGTTGATATTTTTTCTCTCTCCTCGCGATCACTGCAAAGTACGTGAAACATGACAAGTTGTTTTCAGCACGGATGCCGTGCAATGAGCCGATCAAAAGCAAAATAATTAAAAAAGATTACCCTTCGAAGGCATCGAAGTGACATTCCATGAACTATTATGCGCGCTTGAAAATTGACTCGATCTAAAATGTACTTTAATTTTTAAACGCCTTTGATTTTAGTTAAATCGATTATAATAGAAAATTTTCGATTTTAGTGAAAAATTGTCGAATCGAAATATAATTGCATATGTGTCTCAATACGAAAATTTATCACATTTTTAGTGATACATTTATCTCATTTTTGGCATGTATACATTAAAAAAAATAATGATCTAACACGAAAAACGAGCTTTGAAATTGGCAAATATGTTATTGAACTTCTCAAATAACAACTTAAACACCATCATCAGCAGGATCGAACATTTTTTTTTTCATTCATCGTCATTTTCATATAATAGTCGACTAGAATTTTCATCTCATTTAATATATTATATTTTTTAAATTGAATTGAAGAAAAACCGCTTTGCAGCAGCGGTGAGCTGCCGTTCTAATCTAGAATATGTGTGTTATTTCTGATGGGGCAAGCTTTTTACTTTTATCTCAGTCGTACAATCGAAGTGAAGTTGAGGACATAAAAATTTATGAGATACTCCAAGCGCTAAAAGATTTACTATATCGTTTAAGGCAATAATTATACAAAATTGTAATAAACCTTCACTTTGCATCGTAGAGAGCAAACTATACACGAGTCTATCGGATATTTTTTTGTGAATTGACAATGTGTTTCATTGGCTTGTGTACTGGATGAAAAAATAAAGTAGCAGCATGCACCAAATCAATAATAAATCAATAATATTTTACTTGGCAGAGGTGAAAAAAAATCTCGGTAATTTTAAATAGCGTAGTATATTTTTCGCAACCAGAAATGTGCATAAGCCAATTGAAACGATAAAGAGAAACCATTCATTTATATGCGAAGAGTTGAAGCATCGCTGAGCAGCAAATTATAAACAACATAAGCATGCGCCGAGAGAATTGAATTGATTATGCAATTTTGCTTACATTTACATAGAATCAATTCGATGCTGAAAATTTGCGGTCTGAAACATTAGAATCTTTAGAGTGGTGTACTTGTTGACAGTCAGTTGTAACCTTGCCTTTGATCAGTTGTAGGCACTTTATTACACTCTAAACCGTGAATATTAACATAAGAAATAATTAAAGTTTTATGTGTCACACATGTCACCTATCAAAGTTGTTCTTTGCTTTCGGCACCTTCTTTAATTGCATTTATTATTTTTTTTACTCTCGGTTTTGATGTGCCAATGTAATTTATGCTGATCGCAATCGATGGATACGCACAAAAAAAGCTACACACATATATTTATGACTCTGATTTTTTTCAACAACAATTTTCAATTTATTTATTTTTCGTATTCTTTGTTTTCTCGTACATCAATTAAGAAATTAATTTAAAGCCTAAAAATGCATTGGTAACTACTGAAATGAATCGTCTCTGTGAATTTTCCACAAAAAAAGAGAAGAAAATTCAAAATAGCGATTTTCTTTTGTTTAATATCGATTAAATGTCAACAGAATGTCTTATAAAATTCTCCAATCAAATGTGATTTGAGATTGGCAAAATTATATAGCTTTGGAAAAAATGTCATTTGAGCTTGTAATGGTTGTAATGATTTGCGTTTAACCCGAAAACGTCCAGAAAGGTTGAGCTGGATAGGGTGATTGGCGTGGGAAAGCATATGGACTTGGATTCAATACTCTGGCAATGTCATTGTAGCTTCTGCCCTGATAAGGTTGACCACCACCACCTCCACCTCCGCCACGAGATCCGAACAATCCAAAGATCGGAGTAGCCACGCTAATTCCACACAAATACAAAATAACAACGATTATTGATTTGAAATTCATTTTAATGATTTCCTCAAAATATGTGCCACTTGAAGAATTTTGAAAATTTCTGAACTTTTCCGTGTGTTTTTTTTTCACTTAATTTTTTTTCTCGATTACTGACAATATTCTCTTTAACATTTAATCGTTTTATTAAAAATATAACCGATTTTGAATCGATGTGCGTGTATTCTCATGCTCGGCACATTTTCAAATGAAAAACAAATTCTATGCACGTTACTTTTATATCGGCGCACCAGAACCGACAGATTTTCATGTTGACCAGTCCGATATTGGTTGATTATTAGCATTGATTTTGTGGCGCACCGCAATAACACTTTTACTACATATCGGCGTAAAATCATACGAACAACAACAAAAAATATACACAATAATAATAAAACTGGTACATGCGACAGTCTCAAGCGGTCGCCGTGTATGCATTAATTATTTACATGATAATGAACTTGTGAATTCTCACATTGTTTTCATGAGAGACAGAGACGGAGACATTTGAAGCTCTGAGAAGAGACGCTTGTACGTGCTTCGACCAAACGATCGTAATAAATATGATGTATTCTGATTGATCGTTTTGTGATGGCAGGCTTTTAATAAGACAATACCGAACCAAACCATGGATCATAAAAAAATGGTTTTTGAGTCAATTTTCTGTTGTGACTCTGTTTATCTGACTTTGGCCTTCATGGTATTTTTATATGAAAATGTCTACACCACTTTTGGGCTCGTATCAATTTTTAAACCGTGGCGTAATTATATGCACGATCATCATTAAAATTACCGACATGTTCTACCACTAGAATTCTAAGTATATAAACAATTTGGATGTGCGCGTAGACACATGAATCACATTTGAATCGAGCGGGAGTATAGTTTCAACGACATTCTTTGATGCTTTGTTCAACCTTTTTTAACGGCGCACTTTCAAGTGAACAATGTCACAACGCAAAACAGAAAAAAAAACAACGACGATACACTGATTTTCCCTGAATTAAAAGTATGAGTAGTGTGTTTCGTGTTGAGCGCGCATCCAGGTGATTACCGTTTTTGGGCAAGTTCAATGTTTTCTCATCGTTGTTACTTTATCAGTCTCAATCTCGCACGCTGCTTTTGTTGTAAACATTCTCAATTTTGAATATGATTCTATTCACCTTATGTCTTATGCCTCGTTTACATTCAATGTAAACCAGTAAACATAGTGGAACGCAATATATTATTGAAATTAGAAACAAAACGTTTACTATATTTTTTTTATTGTGAATAAAAAAGACCTAATAATATTTCGGGAATAAAAGAGAAAATTGTCCATTAATTTTTTTAAAACTTGCACAATGTCAAAAAAAAAATCAGTCGACAAAAACTGAACAATGTTCGACATAGTTGTGTTAGTCACGCACACTGACAACTTTGACAGTTTGCGGGAGAAGAAAAATGATGCATTTTGAATATCTTTAATATTTACGTAAAATAAATTGAGTTGCATTTGATTTTTTGTTTGTTTACACATTTGCCTGATGTAAGCATTTAATTTGCATTCAGGAAAGGAGTTTCGCATTGGTTTATTTCCGTAGAAATGAATACCTTGGAGAATCCGGTAATTAAAATTAGCAAACTAGTTTCGTTAGCTTTATCAAAATGTCATACGACAAAAAATGACAATCAACAACTGAGATTTTTGTACATTGTGATTCTTTCAGAAATGGCCACGGTCACGAAAGTCGATTCATTCGCCGATGGGTGAGTCATCACCGCCATCCCGTCAGTCACCGATTTCGGCACAAAAGCCACTTAATCGCAGTAAACCCAGCTATTCGGAAGACGATTCTGACAATGAACTTGATTCTTTCGATCGCTCTGGTAAAATTGGTTCGTTGAATACAACACGAAGTTCAAATAGATCATCGCATGAGTTTATCGAACATGAACAAATTGTTACAACTCGTACACGACGAACTGCAAACGACGATTCGTACAGATACAATGAAGAGAGAAAATTAGAAATCAGCCGCACCGAGACCACAACTTCTGATCCAAAAATTATCTACCTTGCGGTTTTAATTGCGGCGATTTTGGTTGGAATTGCAATGTACATTATTATACCAGCAAAATCATTGCCAACAAAACGAATTGAATGTCCACAATTTAAGGAATTAATGCAATACTTTAACAATCAAGATATCACACTGTGGAAATCGTTGAAGGTGAATATCGAAAATGTGGTGAATCAAACGCCAGCCGCACCAAGTGTTTTTTTACTCGCCTATCATGATGCGGCGACGAGCAAAAATGTGATGGCCAAAATTTTAAATGCCACAGCAAATTGCATGAAATCAAATGATCCGATTCAATTGGATGGTGGGACATTTGCCACCGATGCAATGATTCAAGATTATGGTGAAATAATTACAGCCTATCGTAAACGTCTTGAGAATGAAGGCATCATGTATGTGGCTGATTTACACAAATTACCAGCCGCAGCAGCGCAAGCATTTCACACAATCTGCGATACTTTTACTCCATTTGTTGAACGATCGGTCATATTTTTCTCCATGTATGTAGATCAATACGATGGAAAAGATATGTCACCGAAGAAAATTCATTATTTGGTTGAAACACAGCTCGAGAACAATTGGAACGATATTAATCATAATACTTTAAAAGCTCTCATTGGTCGCATAACCGATCAAGTCTTTTTATTACATTCAGAAAAATTATTAATTGATTGAATCTACAGCTGATATATGTATATTTTTTTTATTGTACTTGTATTAACTGAATAATATCGAAATAAATTTATTTGTTGGGGATTTTCGAGATTTTTTTTAAGGCAATGCTAAGCTTTTTGAGCGTAAAAGTCTTTCGGTTTGCAAGGGTAGAGGTCCAAATCGTAATTTTGAAGGTTGGCAATCATTTGAGTTTTGAGAATTATTGAATTGAATTTAGTCTCAAAACATTATCACTTTTTTTCATCAATTGGCTCTCAAACAGCTCTATTTGAAAAAACCTTTAGAACTTTGATTTATGTACGCTGTCAGAAGTTCGATATCACTTCGTTTGGTTCTTGTCCGACCTGCCTTAACCAATTTTCATGAAAACCAAATTTTTTCCGAAAATACTCGATTCAAGGGTTTTCGGTGTTGCTTATAAGCACTTGCAAAATTTTCAACTTTTTCTGATCCATGTATATTTTTTACTCAAACTAAATAAAATCGAAAACAATTCTAAATAAGTTTATTTTGTTCCAAAACCGTTCGTATCACAGTGAACAGAATAGACATTATATTTTTCATTGGTTTGTAATTTACAACCTTAAACTAGAGCATCAAAAGTTGTCCACTTTTTTTTACCCAATTACCTCTCAAAAGGCCACCTTGGAATTATCCTCTTTTTCTAAAATCAATTTCAATATGAAATGAACTTCGCAACTAAGCTATTAAAAAGCATTTTTGAAAGAAGAAAGAATTTTTTTTCTATAAAATATGTCGCACCATATCGAAACAGTATTTATTTTCAATTGACTATTTTTATATGTCTATTTGGCCATTCATCTCTTAGTTAATGAACACTTTACATTTTTCATAAAATATTTTCATTGTTCGTTCCTTAATTATGTCTTCTACGCTCAGTTCTGACTGCAGTAACCGCAACTATACAGAAAAAGAAATCAGTTTCATTAATATCGAATTAAAATAAATGGTTAATATTGCTTACCTTTCTTTGTTCTGATTTAAAATCTTTGCATACATTGACATCATCGGGATCGTTGTCTTTCTTTGATTTCAGCTCTTTAACACGATTCGCAGTGATTGCAATGCAGTTTTTAATGATATTATTTCGGCTCTCGTATGTTGATTCCAATGAACTATATAAATCTTTGCATTTCTCGGTTGCACTCAATTGTCCCTTAAATGATTCAGTCGGTATTGATGTGTTTAATGCATAAATTATTTTATCATCCACATTTCGCATTTTCTTCAATTGTTCCTAAAATCATATCATTGCATTTTTTAGATGTTTTTTTTTTGCTTGTTTAGAAAACGGGCTGTTTTTATTTCAAATTGGACCAATCAAATTTTGTTTGGTTAGGTTTATTGTTTCGTTAAATGCACTAACCTGAAATAGCATGAAATCTCCGCATGTATATTGAATTGCCATTTTCCTTATTGTCGCTTGCACAAAAATCTCCAATTAAACAATCCAATCTCCAGTTTTGTTTGAAAACTGAACGGAAACCAATGTAAATTTGAATGAACTATCGCGTTTTGAATTTACAATGATGCCGAACATATAAAAATGATAAAATTACCTAGCGATTGAACGAAATTGATCCTTTTCAAAAAAAAAAAATCAACAACCAAGAAAGAGGTGAAGTGATCAATGGTTGTATATTGGAAATATTAACGATTTTGCGCTAATTTTTGGTTGGTATTTTTTATATTGTTATTAAAAAATGCACTCGAAATGCGAACCGGGCCGTACATGACACAAAAACATTTGACATCTTATAAGACAAATTAGATAACGTACTAATCGAAAATGAATGAGTTTAATGCTTTTTTTTTCCTATTGTTAGCCGCTGTAAATGTATGAATAATATGTAAAGTATTTCAAATTCTTTTTCCACATTTTTCTTGTTTTTTAAATTCGCAATTTTTTTTCTTCTGTGGCTGGTGTTTTTATGTCTTTGAGATTTATTTGGTGGGCAAATTGAGTTCTTCGTGTATGTTTTTGTATGTGACTCCTCTGATATGAGCCAATGCTCCAATCACCGATTGAGTAGCATCTTTGACATCGTTGTATCTGTGTGTTAATTCCATAATTTTGATTTTCATTTCCTTTTCAGTTGGAATTGTTGCAATTTTCTTTCGCAATTCATTCCTTTCGGACTCCAAATCCGCTAGGTTTTCTTCTTTTTGTTCCATATTGTGTGTGTGTGTGCTTGTCAAATGCTCGTCTCTTTATGTACGTTGTTTTATGTTATGGCGATATCCATCTGTCAAACAGGAAAACTCAAGAGTTCAAAAATTCACCACGCTCACATTTTCACCATCGCACATCGCATTTGTGGTTTTTTAATTGGAGGTTTTGCCAGTGTGTTGTCTCGCTGACAATTTCAGTCTGGAATTTATACTATATAGTTATATATTTTCAATTTATTAAATTACTTGTGGAAATTGAAAGGAAATCAACAACAACAAAAAAAAAACACAGTGTTTTCAAATGTAAGTGAGACTTAGAATTTTTGCTGGTTTGTTTTGTGTTTTATTTATTTTGGTTAAAATTAAACATCAATTGATTGAATCATTTTGTGAAATATACATTCCTATCAACAAAGTGAACATTGAAAAATTCTCATTCAATATACATCGAATTTCGTTTAGGTGGTAAATAAAAAAAAAGTCCATTTGAAATTTATTTTCGTCTGCATGCATGGTGTGCTCATCTAATGTCGTATGTCATATTTGTACAGCAATGCATTCAATATGGCTGATTTACGTATATTTTTGACGTATCAGACTCTATTTTTTTTGAAAATTTTCAATGAAACTCCAATGAATGAAAGAAATGCATGTTCGTGACGAAATAATTTAAATGCACTGAATTCACAATCTTAATCCAATTTTTCTCACAAATGTAGAATTTGTGTTCCTTTTAAATAGTTGCTTTTACATTAAATCAGTTTGACAATCACTTTCTCATTGCGAAACATCGAATTTCAAAACATGCTGAAATGTGAGCAGGCACATTGTTATTTTGAATTCCATGTTAAGTTGTTGTTTTTTTTTTCACTTACTCTTTGTATTGATTTTGATGATAGTGTGATATATTTATTGTAGGGTGCTTTGTTGTTTTTTTCTTTCTTTTCTTTGTCGTTGTTGAATGAAAATATCATTTGTGAAACGTTTTTTTTTCCGTTTCTTTTTTTAGATGTCAGCCCATAAGCAACGTTACAAGAATGTCGGTCTTGATTCCAGCGAAATGCGACGTCGTCGCGAAGAAGAGGGAATTCAATTGCGTAAGCAAAAACGAGAGCAACAGCTCATCAAACGGAGAAATGTGGACAGTTTTCAAACAATGGACAATGAATTAGAGAACACAATTACGGTACATGTGCGTAACAACAGACGGATATGTTTATTTAATTTTTTGGAGAGCGCCGAATTCAAAATGCGCTTTCGTGCCTTATAAGTTTCTGTAAAATAATTGAATCGTTGATTTACAATTTTAGGACATCGCTGTTGAAAATGCAAACCTATCGATAATCAGCCGTGAAATGATTTCGGATTTATACAGTACGTCAGAAGAGGATCAACTGAGGGCAATACAAAAATTTCGCAAGCTATTATCACGAGATCCGAATCCACCGATCGATGACGTCATTCAAGCTGGTATCGTTCCGCGGTTCGTTGAATTTCTGAAAAACAACAATAACACAACATTGCAGGTACAATACATTCGCAATTATTCACAACTTTCTCCATCTAATCATTTTACTTTGGTGATTGTGGTTTTTGATGTGGTCACCGCCATCACATCCACTAACAAATTAGTTATAGTTAGCGTTAATTAGTGTTATATATATATATATATGTGTGTGTGTTCCGGTATGACGGCCCAATGATGTATGATCAATGTATAATTGAATTTCAGTTTGAAGCTGCGTGGGCACTAACCAATATTGCATCGGGTACATCACAACAAACGAGGATGGTAATTGAGGCGGGCGCCGTTCCGGTGTTCATTGAGCTGTTATCCAGTCCCGTTGATGATGTACAGGAGCAAGCTGTCTGGGCGCTCGGAAACATTGCCGGAGATTCATCTGAATGTCGAGATTTCGTGCTTGATTTCGGTGTGATGCAGCCGCTATTAAAGTAAGATTTTATTTCTCTTTTTTATAATTAATGCACTCACCATTCACACAAATCAATTCATTCAATGTATTAATTTTTTTTCTTCTTTATTTCCTCTTTGCACCATTGACAGCGTTTTAAGTACCGTTAACCGTATTCCAATGATTCGAAATGCAGTTTGGACGCTATCAAATTTGTGCCGTGGCAAAGATCCGCCCGCTGATTTTTCAAAAGTTGTACGCGGTTTACCAGTACTTGCCCGATTACTCTTTCACACAGACATTGATGTACTGAGTGATACTTGTTGGGCAATCAGCTACTTGTCAGACGGACCAAACGACAAAATTCAAGCAGTCATTGATGCTGGCGTATGTCGTCGACTTGTTGAACTGTTGCTGTACGTTTACTGAAATTCATCAATTTCATGTTATTTTACATGGTTTCATTTTGTATTTTCTACTTTTTAATCTTTTGATTATAGACATGATTCACATAGCATAGTTAAAGCGGCGCTCCGTGCAGTCGGAAATATTGTAACCGGTGATGATGTTCAGACTCAGGTAATCTTGAACAGTGGTGCATTGCCGCACATTTTACATTTATTATCATCGGAAAAGGAGTCAATTCGAAAAGAAGCATCATGGACAATATCAAATATTACCGCTGGCAATCGTCAACAAATTCAAGCTGTCATCGATGCACAAATATTCCCAGTGTTGATTCATATACTGAAAAATGATGAATTTAAAACGCGAAAAGAGGCCGCATGGTCAATTACCAATGCCACCAGTAGCGGTACAGCCGAACAAATTAAATATTTGGTAAGAATATATGTCAATATCATACAATCCACACAATGACATTTCTGACAATGAATATTTACGTGCAAAATAGGTTGATGCTGGTTGTATTCCACCGATGTGCGAACTGTTAACCGTTGTTGATTCGCAAATTATTCAAGTGGCATTGAATGGATTAGAAAATATTCTAAAGGCGGGTGATTTGGATAAAACGAAACCAAATCCGTATGCCGTTTTGATCGAAGAATGTTATGGTTGGTATTGCATATTATGTTATTCTTCAATTTTTATTTATTTTTTCTTCTCCAAAAATTGATTTTTGTTTCACTCTTACACACAGGACTGGAAAAAATCGAATTTCTGCAGTCACATAATATTCGCGATATTTACCAGAAAGCATTTTGCATAATTGAACAGTACTTTAGCAGTGAAGAAGAGGAAGATGTACGAGTTGCACCAGCGGCTAATAACAATCAATACCAATTCAATACCAATGCTGATCAATCAGTTCCAATGGGTGGATTCCAATTCTAAAATGAATTTAACATCACAAATATGGGTAACATTTGACATACAGACAAAACAAACAACAATAATCGAACGAATACCCAAAAAAAAACAACAAACGATTTAACAAAATGCATAAAAAATGCACGAAGCCAACCAAAACACGAAAACAAACCAGAATGTTAACATGATTGAATTTCATTGTCGAATTAAAATGAAATATGCAATTGAAATAATGTAAATGTCAAACACAGTTCTTTTTCGAAAAAGAAAACGAAACAATTGTAAAACACACACAAAAATATGTCAGAGATACTAGATCACTCATATAAACTCACTCAAACAGACGACAAACGGTTTTCATAGAAACAAGAAAAACACCTATTGATAATACTGATGAATGTTGATATTTTTTGTAAAATAAGAATTTAACATAAATGACCACATAGAAATCTGTTACACATTTTTGTTTGCATTTTGCTCGCGGTTAGATTTTTTGTAACTTTGATACTCCATCTGAAATCTTTCGTTGAAATTCCGCGTGCGCGCATTTTAACATGTCGAGAAAAAAAAACGAAGAAGAATTAACCAAACTTGTAATTTATGTTGTAGACCAAATCGAAAGACCATTTAAATGTTTCACTTTTGTTTCAAAAGCCTAACCGACAAACCATATTAACCAATTATAACGACCGAAATGATGATTGTGTGTGTGTAAATGCAAATGAAATGAAATGATTGTGCGCCTGAACTACTATCGTTTCATTTACAATTTTTTTTTTGCGAATTTGTTTTGAGAAAAAGCTGTGAACTAAATAATTTTTATAAAGATTAAAATAATTTTCTTTTTATTTATTTGCTTCTTTTTAAATTGTAAAATTAAAACACAAAATACATTCAATGAACTCAATTCAAAAACATTGACGTTAAAAACGAAGAAAAAAAACCAACAAAATGACAGATTAGCCACTATAAATACTTCACAATTAGGATCTGTTTAATTTTGTTTCTCCTTTAAACAAAAAAACACAATAATTTTAAAAATCGGTGTAAGAATGAAGAGAGTTGAAAACAAGAGATGCCTTTGACTTATTATTATTGATGATGATTAATTATTATTCGAATTTTTCTTGTAACCAGAGAAATCTTAGAGATGCGTTTTTTTTTGTTCTTTCTGTTACCTTAAACTTATGATGAGAAATAATTTGCTATAAGCCAAATTGCGCGCTTATAGATTCACGAACCAAATGCCACTATTTTAAATTGGATTCTTAAACTAAATTAGATTATTATGTGATATGAATGAATGATGTGCATGAATACATAAAAAAAAATAAAAAAATGAAGAGTAATACATGTTTTATATCATTCAATCAATGTTAACAATTCAGTTTTAAAAAAAAATTATGCTCTTTCGAAATTTGGAAAAAAATATACATTCGTAAAACAGCAACTGATTTGTATTATTATGGACAGAACAACAATTTACAACAACAAAAAGAAATCACACGTTTACACCTAAATGAAGAAAAAAAAAACACTTAAAACTGGAATAACTTATGAAATATTTTATGAAAACAAAATAAAATGAATAAAAAAAAGATATCTGGAAGCACGCCATTTTCAAAATCATGTCTTTTCATTTGTTGCATTTAAATAATTATTGCTGTCGAACAAACCGGACGAACTTTATTTTATGGTTCTTCACCACATAAACATTTCTTAAAAATGAGCAATTAAATCGGCTTGAGAGATGATGGCTCGTGGTTATTTTTATTCTTCTTCTCCCGTTTTCTGTACGATGAACAGGCTCTAATATTAACTTCGGTAAGCTAGCTTTATGACGTTTCATTACACTCATACAGCTAGATAACCAAAGACAACGATAGTGCCAAATTTAAATAAAATTCTCCAATTGCTTCAGGTAGCTCTCCTTATTCAAATCTGGAAATGAAAATAATACTACTATCGAATTAAATATTAAAAAAAACATGAGAAAGGAATCATCTTTCCCTTAATCATAAAACCTTTCTCTTTCGTTGTGTGTCTTTCGTTTTGGTTTACCTTCGAATGATGAATTCGATCATTATCATATTATATTGTCGAAATCACCAACACCTGAAAAAATCAAAACTATAACTGTATCGCCCTGGTCCCAGTGAATGGACTATCCGGGTCCACGCAACAAAAATAATTGTACTCGCTCATAAGCTCAAAAAAAAAAAAATCATCAACAGTAAAAGATTGAGGTAACAATGATCACAATGGAATACAATAGTATATGGTATCGCGAGTCTCTATTCATACACCTTCTTACGCGGAGATGTTATGTGGTGTGCGTCGTCGTCGTCCGCACTGTTGCCATCAGCTTTCAAGCTAATTTTGTTTCCCACCCGACATGAGAATAAAACGTACAATGCTTGTATAACTTGAACTATTGCTATTGCCATCGTTGATCATTTGTAGTCTTCCGTGTTCTCGACACGCTCAACACGGTGAAGAGGTAATTCTTTTTTTTTTCGTCATACAGAAACAAAGCCGAAAAAAGCAAATAGAGCTAAGCAATAGAGAGAAGTCTAAGAAAACATTAAAAATAGAACACAACATGAATTCCATTCATGAAGCTACTTACCAAAAAAAGAGAAGCAAGCGCGAGAAGATATATAATTAAAATCATGATACCACGATATACTATGTTGGTGGAACAATCAAAATGACAAAGCCACGAAGACGGACGTGTGCTCGCGAGCACTTACCATGAACAAATTCAAGTTCACACAAATTCACATTTGAACAACAACAACAAAAAACGAATCATGATTTTCGGTTCGTTTGCATGTTGACTTTTTAAAGTCATGGCACGCATTTGATTCATTGTGTACATTAAATGTCTGTATGTAATTTTTATCTTATGTCGTGTATGTGTAATTTTTTTTCTCTTTATTTTCTCAAAATTCGAATCAGTAAATGCCATAAAATGAGCGAATAGATAAACTAATTGTTGTGTGCAGCGCACGTGTATACCACGACACCATCAGTTTTGACGGTTTTAAAAGCTGAACGTGATTGAAGACGAAAAAACCATGAATAATGTTTTTTTTTATAATTCAATTATTTGCTTAGCATTTGAGTAGGCATACATATGTGGGGGCCCAATGAGGGATCACAATAAAAAAATGAATAATCACGGCTAAGGCAACCGAACGGTTAGCATGTAATGTTTAAACGAACGGAATAATGGTCAGTACAAAGTAAGACTGCCGTGTGTGTGTATATTAAATAGCAAATATTGAAATACAATGTTTTTCAAGTATAACCAATGAATCATATTCTCTCAGATGACAACAGAAGTGGAGAAAAATCGAGTAATATTGAATGAGTGTCTCTTCAAATTTGAATAAATATTCGCACATTTTTACAAATGATTCATATATATACGGTTCCAAGAAGTTTCGGTTCACATTTCAGTTTGCGTAACTTTTATATTGTGTCACATAGTTTAGGCCGATAGATATCTGTCGACAGCACAAAATTCAACTGGCGTCTATCGAATGATTTTTGATCCAAGTGACGAGCACAAGAGAAAGAGATAGCAAACTTATTGACAGAAACTGTTGTGCATGTGTGCTTTTTTGTGTATCCACTTATAATCGATAGTAATTTATGCAGCTTGAACGCAAAGTTGCCAATATATATATTATACTGACAACATGTATCTACCTGTTTGCATGATCACGAAACAACAAGCAATATGAAGAGAATTTAAAGAAAAAGAAGAAACGAAAATCACCAAAAAAAAACAATCCCGCGAGAAACAAGAACTAGTTTCGAAATAAAATGACCATATAAATTATATTAGCATCATTTGGTATTCTGGAAATGTGATACTGTCTTACACATTTGTGCAAGATTTAAAAAGTCAAACACATTTTATGTGTATGCATGTGGTTGTGACAGCGGTAACGATGGCTATATGACAACAATACACTTTGGCAAGCATTTTTAGTGGCCACGTCGCAATTTTTTTTTCTTTATATCTTACTTTAAATGCGAATCACCGCAATTCTCTTTTTCTCTTTCGAATTGAATTCGTCATTAATAAATAGTATGCATGACATATACAAAGACACATTTCTTATATATTTTTTGATCGCAAATAAACACATTGAATGACATATTCAATATCACAAATTCAAAGAAACGAACCAACACATTTCTTTCTTTTTCGGTTTCCTTACTTTAATTACAGTATTATCATATTGTAAAAAAAAACTGATATGTTTCGTTTAATATCACTTACAATCTTAAAACGTACCACACAATTCTATTTATGAATTATTATGAATTATTATGAATTGAATAAGATCATTTATCTTCGATAATCCAAACTGTACTAAACTTTCTTCATTCAATATATGTGTTATTTATTGTAAATAAAAGAGCTTCGAATACATGCACCTTAATAGTACAGCCAAAAAATGAGAACAAATACAAAGTTTGCACACACAAAAACCAAATTTTAAAATAAATGAAAGAAAACTGTTGAACGCGGTACGCGATTGAGGTGTTATAACGCAAAAGAGAAATAAATGAGTGAAAAAAAACTGCCCGTATTTTTCGTATGATGTTCTCTAATCTGTGTCTGTTCAACAACAGTACAACACGCAATGAAATGTTTACTGATAAAAAAAAATTGAATAGCTGTACTCACAACAAATGCCATTAAATGGTACACATTTGGCGTATGTCACTTATACACACATTTGAAATTCTATTCGTTTATTGTGTTATTATTATTTTTTTTTTTTTGGTAAACTCTAACGGTGACATCATATTTAATGTAAACAAATAGAAACGTTTTGTATGGTAACCATTTTATTTTCAGGCCCCATACGCGACAATAATCAACTAACTTCTGATCTAATATTCATTCGTTTTCTCCTATTTTATTTCAATAATTTTTTCTTTTTCATGCCATTGCAAATTCTCTGGGTGGCTTGAATCGAAAGTATTGTCAATCGATGTGAGCCGTCGACTTCGACATGTATGCAAAATGTACAACAACAGTTTTAACAACTGGAAGTCTCAGTGTATAAATTTTGTCCGATACTTTCTCCGTGTGCACAATTTTTTTTTTTTACTTTTTCTCTC